TCAATTCTATTACTATTTTTTATGTCCACACTTAAATTATTCCATAGTTTTACCCCACTTATAGAAATACAGAATCTTTTTTTGGTTGTACGTATAGCATGAATTTTTAAATTTAACTGACCCCTTAAATTGTATCCCCCCTTCCCTTTCATTTTCCTACGGTTTTCAGGAAAGTCATTTAGCAAGGTGGATCTTCAAAGGCTTACTGTTCACCATGTAATTTAGCAAGACCATATTTGTCGCCTTAGTAGGTTTTGGTTGCAAGAGAAATGATGTGGGCCTGCACACTGAGTTGTAGCACATTTTGGGTTTAACCATCTCTCTAGTTGCCATGCAGGACACTCTCTTGAGCAGAGGCACAAAGCCTTTCCATTTGTCCAGCTTATGATTTTCTCTTGCAAGTTTTCTTCCTTTCCCGTGTTTCTTCTCACAGTGACATGTTATGTGAAAAATTCAGACATAATTTGAACCTGTTTTCAGACCATCAATACTATGAATATGTTTATTATTTGACCTGAGAAGAACAGATTCTCTAAATTTACTGACCCAGACTTGACAAAAATCTCATTTGGCTTATCTGGCTCAGCAGCTCATTAGATTTTACTGAGTATGTAAATGATACATGTACACTTCAAAGCTAGTTCATAGAAAAACAGTGAGTTATATGAATTTTGCAGCTTTTCTCCTCTTTGGACTTCTCCATGCTATCATTCCCTGCTGGTAGCTTCTAATCCAGCACAGGCAGCCATCCATCACTAATACTCGGTGGTGTAGTGATGCAGCACAAGCATTACTCACTTTTACACTTCCGCAGAGATGCGCAGAGACTGTGCCTGCTGCAGCAAGTCACACTGTCACTGATCGGTCCAACACAAGCTGAAAGACTTGGATTTGAATTATTTGTGCATGTTGGTGTCAAGCAGTTTCTGAAGTAAAGGTTCTACTAAATTACGGTGTCAACAGTGATGTAGTGTCTTTGATCAAATGACACATTAAAGTAGAACATCTTGACCAAACAGGTTAAGCTGCTACTGAATATTTTTGTTTGCTATTTTGGCTGCCTTAAAGATCAGATCTAATCAGGAAGTATTAAAAAAACTGAAGTGACTAAATGAGTTGCATGCTATTAGCTCTGCTTCCTAATACAGGCCTTTTCCTTTTTATAGCTATCTGTCCTTGAGCCTCTTGTGTTTGTATGTTTTCACTTGCTCTCATGGGAACGGTTTCTGTGAAAGCACCTCCTGGCTGTGCTGTACCAGCTGATGTCAGCTGACTTCTTTTGACCTCACTTGTGACAGCAGCAGACTGTAGGTCAAGCTGTGAGAGATACTGACTAATGTTGGACAACACTGGCATTGCTGCCTCGGTATATATAGTGAACTTTTCCCAGAGCTCCGAGCAGTTGGCATTCTGTGAGAGAAACAGGACCCCACAACTTAAACAAGTCACTATTCCTGCAGCCAGACACCAGGTGTCCCTAAGTCCCCACTCTCCGTGCACTGGTTGACCCTGCTTTAGCAACTCAGTGCTTTAGTGATAACTCTGCAGTATCCACAGTTTTGTGAGTGTTTTTGTATTCCATGTACACAATGACATGTGAGATCATGGGTGGCACAATTTACACCTTCGTTTCATGCTATTCAGCTGCTGGTGACTGTAAGAAGCCTTGAAATACAGCACTAGGTGGGTCTCCATCCAGCTGTTCTTATATGTGCTTTCAATCTCTGTGCAGGAACCCATGACCCATGAACTGTCTCCTCACACTGTGTGGCTGTTACTTGCTCTGTAGAGGACATGTCCGGGTGCTCTGTCAAGATATGATGAGGAATACGAGAAAAATAAGCTGTGAGGAAGCTCTGTTAATCCTTCAGAAATCTTCCAGCACCTTTACACTCAAAACTCAGTTGTGCTTTGGTGTATTAAAAAAGTAGTGTGATTTTATTCAGGGGGATTCAGTCATTACAAAAAATTAAAATTCAAGAGGATGAATATGCATTTAAAGCCAAATTCAAGCATGTATCAAGAAGAGATATGCTTTGATTCATTCACACACATGCACACTTTTATCCTAGCATGGCATAGAGTAAGCTCACCCCATTGATGAAACAAACACCTTCAGTAAAGCCTCTGAGCCAGGTCCTTTAATCCATCCTACAGCTGGAGAAGCTTAACGTGCCAGGAGGTTTGTCTTAGTGCGCTTCTAGTTAATGGCCCACTGTCCTCAAACTGTCAGCCACTCTGAAAGGGGAGTTTGCAGCAAGGTGCTCTAGTGCCAAAAAGGCAATATGTTATCAAGATAACACTTCCTGTGACACAGTGGTTTTAAGTTTCTAACTAAAGTACAGCAGTGTCTAAGTGATGCCTCATCAAAGGCTGCATACTGTTTGTGAGTTGGTACCAGTTCAAACCAAAAGCTGGTATCACTACGCCTCATCTTATTGGTATAGCTGTCCACATAGCAAATGGCAGAAATATTGTTTGTTCTTTTTCTTACTTACTCCTATTTAAATCTCATTTATTATCCTGAAGCTGATAGATTTGTCATTTATCATTTGACCTTACCTGACAGATAGAAAACCACTGCTCTATGAACAGATTAAGATACAGCTGGTAGTACTACTGAATGTCTTATTCTGGTGCTGCTATCACCGGTTCTTCCTTGATATCACTGAATAGCATAGAGTCAAACTACTGAGTGCTTGCATGCACTTGTAAAGTGCCGACATGGTGACACACAGCAGCTTACCTGCATTATTCTCTTGGCAGAAATCTACAGTACCTCAAATAAATGTTAATGTGGATGTTCCTTTACAGTAAACCACATGAGCTTCTATAATATTGATAAATCAAGTGAAAACATTAGAAATGAGGTGCATTTTCATCATATTACACATGTTCTTATGACCTTACACATACTGTCACACTGTAACTCTCAGGACCCTAAAAATGCCATTTACCTGAAACTTATTGAGCCGTCTGCTGGGCAGTCGCCTCCTTGTTGGCTTACAGCACCAGCACCAGAAGGCTGTGGCTTCTTGTCCAATTGTTGCCCATGCTTAAACAGATTAACCAGTCCCTTCTAGCAAAATGCCAAAGCCAAGCCTTTTAAAGCTGCATCTGGAGCATGTTGAGGTGTCCTCCTGTCAGCCCAAATATTTACTCACATGAGGGGGTTGTGGGAGATATGGAGGAATGTTTCAACTCCTGTTGATTTGTTTTAGTTGTATTCTAGCATATTAAATGTAAGAAAAAAGGGGAACTTTGCTTCCCAGACCCCAAGATGACATCTTCAAATTGTTTATTTTGTCCAACAAACAGCCATAATAAAAATGATTTCCAATGCTCAAGGGAAGCAGCAAGACTTAGTGATCTTTGACAGTTTATTTTGTTGGTAACATCTCTCTTTTACTCTGCTGACCACCACATACCACTTCATCAGACTACAGATGGCCACGCAGGACATCCTACCATGATAATAGCTTTGGTATTTTTTGTGCTTTAGTCATTCGACTGTTGTCTCTCTCTTTCATTCCCACTCCTCTGTACTGTATGTTTCCAAACTGAGACAAGAGTGCAGGCCTGGTAACTTGACCTTCTGGCCAATCTCTCCCCTCCTCCTAGTGCTGAGATACTCTATGACACTGCAGCAGGTTCTCATGGACACACTGCCCTTTGGAAATTCCCCAGCTGTGACCAGTACAACCGACAACCTGCCAAACCAGTGTCTACTCCAGACAGTATCACTGCACAGAGGCAGAGGAATTATCACAGTGGCTTCAATGTGGTGAGCAAATTAACCACAGGGTGTATTAGTACTTGCAGAGCAATATCATGTTTTGCCCTCATCAGCAAATTTAATTGTAAAGCATGGGTGAGCTACTGTGCAAAACACAAATATGCAGAGGTAAGTGCAAATAAAAGACAAACTTCTGTCACTGTAATCAAAAGCATATAGTTTAGATCCTTTTTATCCTGGCCAAATAAATTCAGTCCATTTAGATTAAATTGCAATCAGCAGACACCCAGAGCCTGCTGGCCTCTAATCTCTCTATCTGTCTAATTAGCACCAACCTTGCAGAAACGCTGCCACAGTGCAGATTATATCCAGCTCTCTAGTTCTGTTAATCCACTCCAGTTAGACATTTCAATGCATCTGTGCTTTAAGCTTTTGTCCACAGCAATTGTATTTCTTTTTAGAAATATGGAAAAATGTAATAAAAGCAGAAAACCTTTTAAATGTAATGTTTTGTTCACGAATAACATGTACAGTATTCAAAACATTTATGATGCCAGGGTAAACAGCACAGATTTTTTTAAAGGAACTATTCTGAAAATATTGCACATATCATTTTGCATTTGCCAAAAATGTCAGTACCATCTGATTTCTGCATTTAATAAACAGGTAAGATCCCTATGCAATCACGCAGACATACGACCTTTTCCCACCAAATTAAAGAGATGAATCAAGGTTTGAGCATGAACACACACACACACACACACACCCTCTGACACAGACACAGCCTCTTCAAATCAAGTTCCCTTCTTACCTTTTGCAGCAAATCTTTAGCCCACTGTGCTGCTGTGCCTCTGCAGTGCCACTGGCTGTTCCTGCAGCCTGTCGGCTCAGATGAAGCGTTATCCTCAGTGTGAATGTTTGCTCTGCTGTCCTTCCTGATAGCGAGCGTCCCTTTTCTTTCTTCTGTTGTGTCCTCTGTTGGCCTCTTGTACAATCCAGGTGGTCAGATAGCTTAGAGAGAAGAAGAGGACCGTCTCCTGGCAGACTGAGGGAGCTGCTGCTGCTGTGTGCGTGGTGTTGCCTGTGGCTAGGGACTGTGAACACAGACTGTGTGTGTGCGTGTGAGAAAGAGCAGCAGAGGAGAGACAGGACCTGCCATGCAGATATCAGCCCTGTTGCAGTTAAATTTAAACCACCCTCCCTTCTGACACCTTGAGCCACAACTGCCCTCCCTCTCCAGCACACACACACACACATACACAAGACTCTGATGCTGTCATATGGTCCTCACAGAAGACTCAGCCCTTGGGAATTTGTTAGTGTCCCTGAGGAGAGAGAGAGGGAGAGAGAGAGCAAGGAGATGAGGGGTGGCAGGAGCAATATTTTGAGAGGAATTTAGACATTTTTTTCAGCTGTTAGTAGGAAGAAATGGCACCAAAGCTGCAATGTTAGCCATTCTTTTTACCCTACAGTTGATTGTTCATAGTGATGTTTTTAAGGACCTTTGCTAAAGGTATACCATATACCAAAGTATATCTAAAATGGAATGTATTTGATGCACATGATTGTCTAAATAATGCATAATTGTGTTCGTAGTTGGTTTGGTTTATGATATGATATCAAAAAACCACTCAGATTTAGTCATGATAGACAGTTTAAAACAAAAAGGATCAAAATTGATGCAGCAGAACTAGACATATGTCTTTATTCTGCCCATCCTTATACTCTGTTAAAGTCTGGTGCCTACGTTATCTACAGCGGGTAAAAGGAGCAGGCTGCAGTGGTCAGGTAGCCTCCCTTCTTTCTATGTTTCTTTCCTCACAAACACATAGTCTTCAGATACCTCACATTATGCCATTGCATTCCTCAAGACCTTAAACAGATGATGTTTAAAATCAGTGGAGTTCCCTTTTAACCCCTACAAGTGAGTGGCCCAACACGTGAAGTGCTGACCCCCATGCAGGTTTGAAAAAGTGGGTTAACTCTGAGGCAGTTATGGCTGCAGACACTGAGTCACAGCAGATGTCACAGCAGTAATAGATTTATGGGCATTGTTCAGCTTTAGATGTGCAGCTACAGCAAAACAGAAATCCAGAGATTGGCAGGCCTACTATGTCCAGTTTTAGCAAATGGTCAATTAAATAGAATTTTCAGGATTAAATGTGTGTTCTTTAAGTCAGTCTCGTGTTTTTTGTTTGCTGTTTGTCTCGGAGCATTTTGAAACCCGTTAATTAATTCATCTATGAGGAAATTACTGTACAGTTTTCAATAACAGCAAAGTAGCAGTGGACCATCTGCTTAACACTTCCTCCCATGGGAAAAACAGAAATATGGCAGAGATACTTACACCAGAGAGGAATTGTCAGTATGAAAAAGATGAGAGAAGTCATTTTGAATTGGACTTTTATTGAGGAATGATTTGTTAGCTGTGATGTGGAATCGCAGCTATGCCAAGTGGAATTGGTGTCATGAAGCACCAATTTATCCTCCCTCCTTGTCATTATGGTGAGCGGGCAGTTTAAAAACAGGGGTATTTATGACTCAGCACTTTCCACCAGCGTTCCTCAAGCTCCACAAAACACGTTGGACTGGCAGCGTGACAGCACCAGTTTAAAGATAGACAGGTTGGCTGTTCTATATCAGAATCCACTGGCCTGTCTGCACATTTACCTATCTGTCTGACTTGTGCAGCTAAAGCAGGGCTAAATATTTTGTCATTTAAATTAGTTTATACTCTGTTTGGCAATTTAATTTGCTCAAAATGTTTAAAACAGTACTATTCTATAAGAGAATCAAATCTTTGTGCAAAATCTAAATACGCATGTATGTAGCTGTCAAATCTGTTATAGAAGTGGAGTACAATGTAAAGCACAGCTAAAATGTATTAATATATTGTACTGTAAAGTACAAGTAGTATAGTATAAGTACAGTACTTGAGTATATGTAGCTTTTCTTTCACTGTCCACTTGTATTTTATTCAATTTTTAATTATTTTTACAACATTTTATACATAAATACTCATTCACTTCCAGGTGTCTAAACAGCAGCAAGTGCACACCTTGGCTTTGTATAAGATGAGCTATGTGTTATCTCAAGTTAAACACTGCTTTTATCATCTTTAACTGTACACGCCCTTCAGAGCTACAGAATCTGTCACCATCTACTGGTCAGAAGGAGTAATAAGAAAACTTTGAGCCACAGGTGATAATGATTCAGTGATGGTTAGCACAGTGACTCTGCTGCTCAGACAAAAGGAAGTGTGATGGAAATGAGCTGGACTGCAGCATTTTTCTACAGGCTTTTTGATTTTTAATATGTTTGTTGAAGTTGAGTGAATCTCAGACATGTCAGCCAGAGGATTTGAGATTCTGCAAGGCAGCGCTCATAAAGAAAATGATACCCATGTAGACCAACAGCTCCACAGGATGATGACTCTGGCCAGTGTAAAGAGAAGCCTGGAGTTTAGCCATCTGGACTATGAGGAACCACAGCAGCATACCGAGGTACAGTACATGCAGCGACTGAGCATTATTTCACTGCGCCTCTTTAACAAACTGTATCTGGTAATAAGTTTGATAAATGATCTGATCTGTTGTTGTCTTGCTTCTTGGCAGCCAGCTACCATACATCAAGCTCATCATGACAAACGCGGAACGTTTGACTTCAACACCTCTTGCTTCTTGGCAGCCAGCTACCATAAATCAAGCTCATCATGACCAACGCGAAACGTTTGACTTCAACACTGTTGAGACAAAAACTGGTACAAAACTGAGTTTGCTCCTGTTTAGCTGACTTGCTCAGTATGTTGCTTTTTAACCCTATGGCAAATTACACAAAAAATAAAAGGCATTCTTGGAAACACACATTTGGATTTAACCAGAGCTCAAGTATTGAAATAACACTGTGCTTTATTCAGCCAGAAAATTACATGAGCTGATTTCCTTTTTGGCTCAGAGCTAATGAAAGCTTCTACATCAATGATTTTAATTGTGAAGTTGTTTTCCTGCACTTAATGGTTTCTCTGTTTGCTCAGAAAACATTTCAGTGCCAGATGACCTGAGTTCCATGCTGAAAGGGATGAAGGGATATCAGCTGACCACAAATGACTTGCTATTCATAAAAAAAATGAAAGAAGATGCACACATTAAAAAGCTCCAAGTGGGTTTCTCACTCACACAGTCATATTTAGTTGGACTTTGCAATCATTCTTGTAAAGTTTTTAACTACAACTGCAGTGTGTTAATGCAGCACAACCGTCTGACTTTCCTCAGAGTGACCTGGAGGACACGCAGAAGCTGCTGAAAACAGAAACAGCAGTCTTAGAGCTGATGTCTGCTTTCAGGGATACAGCAAGTGTTGAACTGAACAAGGTGAATTTGTTTGTTCACAAGGAGGGAGAAGAACAGTTCTGTGTGTGATGCCCTTTTTACATTGTGAAAACCTCAAATGCTGATTTTCAGTAACAAATCCTGTATCTTTATAATATGTTTGGCATAAAAAAGGCTTTACTTTCCATTAACGTCTTCCCTTTGTGGTATAAATGTGAGTTAAAGGCGATGATCTTTTCAGATAATTTCACTCTGTTTAGGTCATGTTAAGTGAAGGTAAAAACTCAGTTTGTTGTTGTTTTCCTGTCAGTTTGCTTCCTGTGAAGAGCTCACTGAGTGGGTAAAGGTGGTCCTCAAAATGACACGGACAGTGACAGAGATTACAGATGTAGACACCAAGGCCCTCCTGGCCATGGTGACGACAGAAGACGTCCAGAGAGTCATAGAGGTGAAGAGGATTGAGCTTAGTCGGACGCAGAAGATGGTGGCAAACAAGTAATAGCTTGCATAAATGAATTTGTGTGTCCTGTTCTGAGTCACTAAACATGGTCAGTGCTGCATTTTAAGGGATGTTTTTATATTTTAGTACAATAAGAAAAAGGAACACAGCATTGAAACTTGCTTCGAGTAATTGTTAAACATCAAAAAGGTGAAGCCAAGAGTTGCATGAGAACATCGGTATAATAACTGTGAAGCCTTCCATTTTGGTGTATTCATATGTTGTGGGAGCTCAAACACCCAAAACGTGGCAGCTAGAAGTTCATGCAGGAGGCCCCAAACACACTTTGCTTTTCAGAGTACTGATTGCTTGTTGTGTCCTGGGCTCAGTTTTTCCACCAGCATGACACACAAATGCTGTTGTATGCAAATGACAGGAAGAAGAAAGAGGCCAAAGAGAAAAGGCAGCTTGAAAAACAAATTGCAAGCCAACAGGTAAGATGGGCTCCAACTCGTATAACATTTTATTACTGTTGATATTAATTATTGATGATATATATATGTGTGTGTGTGTGTGTGTGTGTGTGTGTGTGTGTGTGTGTGTGTTTCTGTTTTCAGCTGGAGGTACAAGATTTGATGAAGCAGTTAACCAGCCTGACAGCTGAACTTGAACATGAAGAGGTGAGACTGATTTGACCTCATATCCTTGGTCTTCTCTCTTGATGTTTAGCTGAGTGGGCAAGCACAAGGCTTGAGCGGCAAAAATGTTGCATCCAGTAACTGAAGACTTCTAAGGATTTAATGTTGTAATATTGTTTCACAGGAAGCCTATAAAGCTCTGCAGATGCAGATCAAAACCCAAGAGGAAGCAGTGGAAGCAGAAGAAGTGAAAGCCTCAGAAGAACTACAAGCCACCAAAAGCCCAGTGGAATGTCAAGGAAAGAAAAGAAGAAAGGTTGTTAGATATGCTGACATGTTGCAAGGCACATCAGCAAGGGGGAAACACACAGGCAGTAAAGCAGACAATCATATCACTGTTAAAGATGACTTGAAGACAAAACAAAACTCTGTAGCAGAAGAGTTGAAAAAGTCAGATAAAGCTGCCAGAGGGCGAGTGAAGAAGGTCGTGCAAGGATCAGATTCACAAGATTCTGTGCGAGGGAGAAGAAAGCCGCCCAAAACTGGGGAAGCTGCGTCCACCTCACAGCAGATGGCTCCCTCCCCCAGTAGAAGGAAAGCTGGGGTGGCTGCAGATGTAGAGGAGGCACAGATCCCTGTTCTGAGAAGGTCCAAGAGAATAGCCAACAGAAAGTGAGTGTGTTCGTGTGCCGAGCAGCTCCACTGTCAGGGATTGGCTCAAGGGCGCTTCAGCTGATGCAGTGTAGAATAAATTTGCAAACATCAACCTTCTTACTCGCTAAACTATTATTGTTAGCATTTTAGCTTAAGCATGGTTCTTTCTATATGTGTAGCCTCAGATCTGTTAAGTTAAATGTTTTCTATTGCAATGCATATTTGTGTAATTTTAGAAATCTAGTGACTTTGTTTTAATAGGTTTTAATTTTTCACAGCTTTGATTAGTGTTCACTGGTGCTTTGAAGCTGATATCAAGTCTCCCCCCCCCAACTGAAACAGTTCAATAAAGTCCTAATGAATTTGCTGCCTTCTTGACAATTTTTAAATAATTTAAATGTGGAGGGTAAAAGGACTAGTCCAGTCTCTAAAGACAGATCAAGGTCCGTCACCTACAGAGTGGAAGTGTTAGAGCTGACTGGGGATTTAATGCTTATCTGAGGGTCCACACGTGGGCCCTGGAGCCTAAACACTCATAACAACTCAAATAAATGTGATGTTTAATTTTGCAGTTGAACAGGAATTTGTTTTCTTCATGCTAAGTTGTACAAATAGACCTCTGTAGATGTTTAATCAAAATCATAGATCGTGTGTGGCAATGCAGTGAATATTTTGACTGAGTAAATGAAATGTTTATGAGCTGCATCCAGATCCTGAGGAGCCAGCTTACTTTTGATCACACCTCATCTCTCTCTTTGGCCGTCATAGCTGGGAATGAGCCACTGCTGTGGCTGAATCACTGTCTTCCAGTAATTCTTGGATGGCTTAGTGGAAATTTGAGTGTAACATTGTTAATTTTACACTAACTGCCATTCAATTCAAACACCCGGCATTCTCTGTGGGTGAGTCTGGAGTGGAGGGGAAATTGTGCTGACAGTTGGAATGTTTCAAGGCACCTTCTTAAGTTACAAATTAAGTTAAAACTAACAGTGTCATTTGCTGCACAAGCGGCTGCAGTCTTGACAGCTTAGCAACTATCTTAGGAGCTAAAGTTCTGTTAGATTTTCCCACCTGAGGTCTTGATCCTTGACTTTTCCTGCCATCTGGGAGGCTCATTATCAGTCTGACTGTAATCCCCAGAACCTGACAAGGGATTTCCCTTTCTCCTCTCACAGCTATACATACATACATACACATATGCACGTATGTATCCTGGATTTGTGAGAATGTCATCTGGCGGTCAAGTAATGCTAGATCCATATCTTATTAAGTGTAATAGTCTATTACCAATACATTTAGTTTACTTCTTCAAAAAATAAGAAAAAACCCTGACTGTGGGCAATGAATCAAAATTGAATTTAGTTTACGCAGCAGCACACAAGTCTTATTTTTTTATTCCCGTTTTTTTTTTGTTTTTTTTTGATATTTATTTTGTTCTCTGTGGCTCCAAGTTATGTGTTATTGCAAAACCTGGAACCCTGAACTGCTCTTCAAAACTGAGGCATGGGAATGTTACCTCAACTACGTCAATTTCAGAAATAAGATCTTGTTTAGAGACAGAGTCCAAACAGACAGGCGGGATGCTGGCCCAAGGAACTGGGGGTCATGGATTATAAGCAAATTGTTCATATCTTTTGCCCTGTGGTTGGATAAAATTCCCTCTTTATTTAGGCACTTAAGAAATGACCTCTGAATATTTTCCTGTTTGCAAAGTAGATGTACACAGAAGCTGTTGTAGTTTAGTATATTAAATGCAGAAAATTGAGAAAAGAAAAACTTAAGTGTATAATGATAGATATTGTACACTTAGCTTACGCACAATGTAACTCTATAGAAAAGCTGACTGTGCAGCACGTTAGGAATTTTCCACTTTTTTCATGGGTGCTTTTAGTTTGTCACCACTAGATGGCAATGCTGCGAATATCTGATAATGTTTCTGAGTAATCAAGTGATGAGGTAAAGTCAGGGGGAGGAAGAACTACTCAGATTCTCAATTAAAAGTAGAAATACCACAGTACCTGGGTGAGGTCAGTGGGGGTGAATAATTCATTTTTGGTACATTATGAGAAGAAGAAAACAGGTTGAAGTATAATTCATGCAATAGTGAGCTAACATCTGCTACTGTCAAGGTTAAAGAGCACAGGAAGTCTTTGGTGTGACAAAGTAATCTAGTTTCAGCCTCTTTGTGTGCTGTCCCAATCAGGTAACCTCCCCTGTAAATGCATCTTTGTTTAGCTTGGGCACTGAGACAAGACAGTTCACAGTCCCCAACCAAGGAAAACCCTGTATAAATATAAATATACTGGTGCGAGCAAAGGCTGAGACCAGAGGTGGTGAGGCCTGTAACGCTTGGCTGTGCCAAGTCTAGCCAAGGCAGGAACATCCAAATCTCAGTGTAGAAACAAAGTGTGAAACCTGCTGCTCAGGTCTTGTGCCAGCTGCACTAAAATCCCAAACCGAGAGCACTTCACGAGAGGATACGTCTGTATACTGGATGTTACAAGCACTTAGGAAAAATTGGTCACTCTCTTATGTTTCACTCACTCACTGACTTCATGTTCTTGTACCATGTTTGGGGTTCAAGCTGTAAAGCTCTGTGTTTTTAGGATGTATCCTAATTTATATCACAAATTCTAAAACTTTTTAATATTTTGGAAGATGCACTTTCCTTTTTTGCAGTTAAATAAGAATATTGATCCTGTAAGATAAACTATATTTATATGTATACATTCACATGCAATATGTATGTGTTAGTGCAGTATGAAACATATTTGAAGATTAGATGAAGTGATGGGAATGCAAAGAGTGTGGCATGGTAATGTGCAAAAAAGGCCAATATAGCAGCAGTTCAGTGCAATTTTTACAGATGCAGTGCTTTGTATAGAACACTGAGCATAACAAGTGAGAAGAGTCATTATTTATGGTGATAAAGTTAAACAAGATATATTGTGTTAATTAAGGAGCTGTAGAGATGCTGGGAGACAGAGCCATGCTGTCTGTTTTCCAGTTTCCAGTCTTTATGCTAAGCTAACCAGCTGCTCAGTGTGCCTTCATATTTACTGTACAGGTATGAGAGTAGCATCATATTTTCTGCATGGAAGGTGGTGACCTTTTACTGAGTTTCTATGTCTGTGAATCTGTCACATCTGTATCATTGGTCAAGGACATCTGCCAGCATCTTGGGTGGTCAGACTGAGGTACATTAAGATATCCACAATAGGCCTGCTTTGTTTTTTTTTTCTTGAACAGCTCGTGAAAAATGCTATAAATACCAGTAGCCCAAAAGAGAGAGCAGTCTGCCTCCACACACACCTGAAGTCAATTAGTCCCTCTGCCTGCTGTGGCTCATGTAACAGACTCAAGTTCTCCTCAATCAGTTGAGCATGAATTCTCACACACAGGAGTGCTTAATGCAAACCATGCCAGATGGGTTTTATGTGTGCCGTTACTTGCATGTTCCACTGTAGAAGATGAACAAATTCTGAATTCTTAGATGCCAGATATTGAATTTTAACACTTTTCATAACTACTTCAAATTTCAGGTTTGTATGTAACCCACTCTGTGTACCTCACAGTAGAGTGTGGATACCTAAACTGAGACCAAATGGACTCATCGGTACCCAAGTATCAGACAGAAAATGAGAAATTATGTTTGGGTCTGGGTTGGGCTCAGACACGTAGCTAAAACTACAGGCCAGACTGCTGGAGCACTCAGATGTCTGCTTTGTGTCAGGTTCGGACATTATACAGTATAAGCTTGTCAGGTCTAGGTCAGGTTCAGACGCCACACTCTCAGGCACGAGACAGGTTCAGACAGAAATTTGCAGTCCCATCCACACGCTACCTCACAGTAAGACTTGCATCATAAAACTATGGTGGTTTATTTCATTTATTCCTACTCCTGTAATGAATTAATTCATATTAGATGTCATTTATCAACAAAATATCTTGTTAGAACAGCTTTAGAAGAACAAAAGGCATGTATATACAAATTTTACAATACATGTAAAGTGCAGCTGTTGATAAATACATACACTATGTGTGGTTTTACATGTATGCTTTAAATACCTTTTTGTTCTGTACTTCTGAACTGTTTGGTCAATCAAATTTAAATAGGAACTTAATATTTTGTGCAGCTTTTGACTAAAAACAATAGTAGTTTTTGCTACACTTTTTTTACATCTTGTGAAACAATGTATAGATAAACTTGCCTGGCTCTATTTATATTGTATGTAACAGTGTGAAAACCAGTGGTGGAACAACTTATTGATATGTCTGAGTGACGACAGGTCCTGACCAGACGTGACGTTATTATGAGGGGTCATAAGGTGAAAGGTTTGCTGTGTCCACAGGCTGTTGTCCAACGACAAATTTGTAATTTTTTAGACCATGTATTTTTGGGCAATGACCTTTTTCTCAGCCCCGTCTGTGCGCAGTCTTTTTGTATGCAGCTAAACTCAGCCAATAAAAAATTGTCTTCCTGGCAAATGAAGAGAGAACATGCTCAGCCCATCCAAGCTGGACAAACATGGTTCCGAGCTGAGCTGCTGAGGAGGCACAGACCCACAGTGAATACTAACAGTGGCCTTCTGCTTTCATTTTCCTCTTTTAGTTTGGCTACATTCTTATTATTATTCTGTCTCTGTTTTGACTCGTTCTCTCACTCTGTCTTATCGACACCTACAGTCTGTGGTTAATTTACCCAATTACTAGACTGAGCATAAAAGATCCACGTATGTGGCAAAATTAAAAACTTTAATTAGGTTGTAAACAGACTGGAATTAACTTAGATGCTTGTTAATTGGAGGCCATCCCACCATCAAACATCTACACTCAGGCATCAGTGTCTCAGCCTATGTGGCAAAAACAGCGCTAGGGTCAGTTTATCCTGCTCCTCAGAGGAATTCTGGGAATTGTTTGCACTGTCTGCATCTACTTCTGCTGCTTCTGACTGGCTCAGAGCTGCTGTTTCTGAAATGCACACAAAAACACATGAATAAACTTTTTTTTTTTTTTTGGTCTGCTGTCAAGAAGTATTTGCATCTGTGTTTTATGTTGCACCTTGTAAAGAGGACAGTGGCTGTTGGATTTGGTCTGTACTGTATGTGTGACTGTCACATCTTTGTGCATTTTTAAACCCCTGTCAGACAGAATCTGGCATCAGTGTCTAGCTTCTGATGCTGGTGAATGCAATGTCCCGGCCTGGTTAGCGAGGTGTAAAACTGAGCCTGTTTTGAACCTATTAATGCTCATATTTTGCCAAGTGCAGAAATAAAACAGGGCTTTCATCTGACACAAACAGGGAGGAATTCAAAGTTTTGTATTTCTGTTCAACATCATGCTCCCTTGTTTGAGAAATCAGAAACATATGACAATGATGATAATTTCAACTGTTTCACAATGTAGGGCCAAAATACCTGTGGTC